CAGATTTTGTCTGATATTTATCCTGGGTTTAGGTCCAAACCTTTTGTGTTTTTTTCATTTTTATTTTTATTTTTGTTTTGTTGTTTTGGGATGGGGGTTTTGGTTTTTTTTTTAATAAAATAAACTAAAGCTATGTCAAACAAATTCGTGAGATAAGCTGACCTATTTCCAATTACAGGTTACATGAATTGAAGTTTTTTCAGTAGTCCAGATAGGATCCACAATTTTTTTAGATATAGAAGTGAAAAGTTTCATTGACAGTCTCAGTTATATGTATTGAGCAGTGAAATAATATTTAACTACATGTTTGCTTCTGTTGAGCTGTCAGTCATTTAGTACTGACCTGCACTAACATTGTCATAAACATAAGCTCTATGACTCTGTTCTGCATTATTTCTTTTTTGTTCCATATTGTCTTTCATTTTATACTGGCTTATTAGTTTGTAGTAAGTAAGCATGAACACTCATTTCCACTTGTAAAACAGACCACTTATTTACTTAGCTTGCATATAAGAGGGTTAGTACATTTATCACTGTTTTTCATATAATAGACATAAAATATAGTCTGATCAAAGAGAATAAGATGTGGATTACCTGCTTAACTCAGTCTTAAGCATTTTTCATGGAAAAATAAATGTATTAAGAAAAAGAGAGTGTACTGAATATCACAATATATGCTTCTCTTCTCTGTTTTCTATTGCTGTAGGGATGCAGAATATCCATAAAGTTGTTGTATCTAGCTTTTTCAGAATATATTTGGATGATGAAATTTCTAATGCCAGATAATCAACATGTCATATTCTAGCCTTGAATCATTGCTGGCAGAAAAGTAGCATGATAAGAGTTCTATTTTTACTCTGTATGTACAAATATACTCTTCCTTAGATAGTAATTTGGGATAGCTGTGAACAGGATGTTCTTGTGAACTTAGTGATATTGAAAATATTTATTTTTATCACTGTAAGTATTCTTATATGCATTTCCTATTTATTTTCCACACTGGAGCTGGTCAGCATGCAATATATGTACATGTGTGGAAGACAACTTCCTTCTGCAAGTAATAGAGGAACCGACAGGGAGAGGTGCCATGCTTGACCTCGTGCTCACCAACAGGGAAGGGCTCGTTGGAAATGTGTCACTCGAGGGCAGCCTTGGATGCAGTGACCATGAGATGGTTGAATTTGAGATCCTTAGGACAGTGAGAAGAGTGTGCAGCAAGCTCACTGCCCTAGACTTCAAAAGAGCAGACTTTGGCCTCTTCAAGAACCTGCTTAGTAAGGTTCTATGGGATATAGCCCTAGAGGGCAGGGGGGCTCAAGACTGTTGGTTGGTCTTCAAGGATCACCTGCTACAAGCTCAAGAGTGTTGCATCCCAACTAGAAGGAAGTGCAGCAGGAGGGCCAGGAGACCTCCCTGGATGGATAAGGAGCTGCTGAGAAAAATTCAAATGAAAAAAGAGTCTTACAGAAAGTGGAAGCAAGGACAGGCATCCTGGGAAGAGTCAGGGATGTTGTCTGGGAAGCTAGGGACCAGGTTAGGAAGGCTAAGGCCCAGTTAGAATTAAACTTGGCTAGGGATATAAAGCATAACAGGAAGGGATTCCACAGGTACATAGCAAATAAAAAACAGACTAGGGAGAACGTAGGCCCCCTCAGGAAGCTCTCAGGTGAACTAGCTACACAGGATTTGGAGAAGGCTGAGGTTCTTAACAACTTCTTTGCTTCGGTCTTCTCTGGCAAAGGCTCTGACTGCACTGCCCAAGTCTTGGAAGGCAGATGCAGGGACTGTGAGAATGAAGACCTTGGGCCCACTGTAGGAGAGGAATTGGTTCGAGACCATCTCAAAAATCTGCACATGCACAAGTCCATGGGTCCTGATGAAATCCATCCGCGGGTGCTGAAGGAGCTGGCAAATTAAGTTGCTAAGCCACTGGCCATCATATTTGAAAAGTCATGGCAGTAAGGTGAAGTTCCTGATGACCGGAAAGAGGGTAATATAACCCCCATTTTCAAGAAGGGGAAAATGGATGACCTGGACCAGTCAGTCTCACCTCTGTGACTGGCAAAATCTTGGGGCAGATTCTCTGGAAGGCATGCTAAGGCACATGAAAAACTACAGGGTTCTTGGTGACAGCCAGCATAGCTTCACTAAGGGGAAATCCTGCCTGACCAATTTGGTGGCCTTTTATGATGGGGCTACAGAACTGATGGACAGCGGTAAAGCAGCTGATGTCATCTACATGGATTTGTGTAAAGTGTTCGACACTGTCCCACACGACATTCTTGTCTCTAACTTGGAGAGACATAAATTTGATGAATGGACCACGCCGTGGATAAAGAACTGGCTGGATGGCCCCACGCAAAGAGTTGTGGCCAATAGCTCAATGTCCTGTTGGAGACATGTAACGAGTGGTGTCCCTCAGAGATCGGTGTTGGGTCCGGTCTTGTTTAACATCTTTGTCGCTGACATGGACAGTCGGATTGAGTGCGCCCTCAGCAAGTTTGCCGATGACACCAAGCTGTGTGGTTAGGTTGATACGCTGGAGGGAATTAATGGCATCCAGAGGGACCTTGACACGCTTGTGAGGTGGGCTGATGCCAACCTCATGAAGTTTAACCATGCCAAGTGCAAGGTCCTACACCTGGGTCAGAGCAATCCCAGACACAGCTACAGGCTGGGCAGAGAAGAGATTCAGAGCAGCACTGCGGAAAAGTACTTGGGGGTGCTGGTTGATGAGAAGATGAACACGAGCAGGTTTCAGTGTGTGCTTGCAGCCCAGAAAGCCAACCGTATCCTGGGCTGCATCAAAAGGAGCGTGACCAGCAGGTCGAAGGAGGTGATCCTGCTCCTCTACTCTGCTCTCGTGAGACCTCACTTGAAGTATTGTGTACAGATCTGGTTTTCTCAACATTGAAAAGACATGGAACTGTTGAAACAAGTCCAGAGGATGGCCACTAGAATGATCAGGGGACTGGAGCACCTCCCATATGAAGATAGGTTGAGAAAGTTGGGGCTGTTCAACCTGGAGGAGAGAAGGCTGCTTGGAGACCTCCTAGCAGCCTTCCAGTATCTGAAGGGGCCTATAGGGATGCTGTGGAGGGACTCTTCATTAGGGACTGTAGTGATAGGACAAGGGGTAATGGGTTAAAAAAACAGGGGAAGTTTAGATTGGATATAAGGAGGAAATTCTTTCCTGTGACGGTGGCGAGGCACTGGAATGGGTTGCCCAGGGAGGTTTTGAATGCTCCATCCCTGGCAGTGTTCAAGGCCAGGTTGGACGAGGGCTTGGGTGATATGGTTTAGAGCGAGGTGTCCCTGCCCATGGGAGGGGGGCTGGAACTTGATGATCTTAAGGTCCTTTCCAACCCTAACTATTCTATGATTCCATGAATTTTATGAAGGTCAACTCTAGTAAAAGACTGTTTGGGATCATGATTGTCCCACCACGCTCTTGCTCTGCAGACTTTGCCTCTCTCGGAACCAAGAAGGCATTTATTTTAGCTAGGTCTTCAACATGGCCTTCACTAGTAGTCACATAGCCAACTCAGTGAAATGCAGGCTAATAACTGGGTGCCGAACTGGCTAAACTCTCAGGCCGACAACTTATTTGCATCAGCAGTCCAATGTCCAACTGTCACCCACCTCATGAATTAGTACTGCAACTAAGACTATTTATTAATAGCCTGGCTGGTAGAACAGTATGTTTTCTCAGCCAGCTCACAGTTGATATCAAAATGGGGGGAGGGGTTCTTTGCTGTTGAAAGGACCTCAACAAGAAAGAATAATACCAAACAAAAACCCTGAAGGTTCACAAAATACTTGTGAAGACTAATGAAGGTAAATGCAAAGCTCAATACTTGGGACAAAATAATTCCTTTCAGTAGTACAAGCCAAGACAGACTGACGAAGAAACAGCTTTGCAAAAAATGACCAGGTAAACATTAAAGCTGATCATGAACTAAGTGTGACACTGCACCAAAGAGGGCCAACCACATTTTGAGCTGTATTAGGATAATTGTAGCTAGCAGTTCCAGGGCTATAATTCTTTCCCCTTATTTAGCATCTATGAGACATTTTATGTGCCTTGGTAGAAAGAAATACTTTGATGTTGTCCTGGGTTCAGCAGTAGCAGTCATTTTTCTCCTTCTTAGTAGCTGCTGCAGTTCTGTGTTTTTTTGACTTTTATTTTACTTTTGGCCTGGGAACAGCGCTGATAACACCGACATTTTTAGTTGCTGCTCAGTAATGTTTAGTCTGGCCAAGGACTTTGTGAGTCTCATGCTCTGCCAGGGAGGAGGGGAAGCCGGGAGGAAGCAGAGACAGGACACCTGGCCCAAACTAGCCAAAGAGGTATTCCATAGCATGTCATGCCCACCATATAAAGTGGGGGAAGTTACCTGGAAGGGATAGATCACTGTTCAGTCAGGCTGGGTATTGGTCGGCAGGTGATGAGCAGTTGTATTCTCTTCCCTTGTTATTTCCCTTGTCATTATTATTACCGGTAGGAGCAGCAGTGGTTTTGTGTTATACCTTAGTTACTGGACTGTTCTTATCTCAACCCATGGGAGTTACATTCTTTCTATTCTCCTCCCCATCCCTTAGGGATCTGGGGGGGAGGAAGACAGGAAAGTGAGTGAGTGACTGCATGGCAGCTGGGCTTAAATCATGACAGTTCTTTTTGGCACCCAACATAGGGCACAATGGTTTGACATAACGACAGATCTGGCCAGAGTGTGTCTAATTGTATTTGTGATAAGCATTTATTGTTTTGGATTAATAGTCACTTATCACAATGCTGATTTATTGGCTCTGAAAGTTGTTTCTCTTGATCTCACAGTTCCGGTATATTGTACCTTACAGCCGGTATTTGCTGTGTTAGTGTTTATCGGCTGGGGGCCTTGGGCTGAGGTTCTTGTTTCATTGTACTTTATGATAATGACCTGTAATAAAATAGAATCATTGACCATGAAACTGATCTGGCTTGCATTCCAGTGTGGTCACCACCTCTATATTTTGGGAGTTATATTATAGAAGTTTTTAATAATTACATATCTTTTTTCTCCTCCTTGGGTGGTCAACCTGTGAAGGAGACATTCCCTCATGCTCCCAGCCCCCCACCAGACCATTTACAGCACCACTTGAGAGTTCTTAAGGTTTTAAATGGCCTTTAGGTACCCTTGAGACCTGCCTGCTGATTCTGATGGGGGTTACTATGTTGGCACATATACAGAGTGTGTTTTATCCATGACCATTTTGTCTGATCAAGAAAGTTAAGTGGAGTCATGTTTGGGTCTTCTCTAGGATTAGATGACAGTATAGGAGGACCAAGAGATTTTCCCTGAGGCCGGACAGTCATGAGTGGCAGGGTGTGTGGGACAGTATGGGCAAGCATCTAGTCCACTGGGCCCCTCCAGTGCTTTGAAAGACTTGGAGATGGAAGACAGATGTATGGAGTCCCCAACGACAAGTTGCAGAAACTGCTTAAGGGGAGGGTGAATTATTTTGAGCCTGGTGGGCCCATAACACTTCAGGCCATTGGAGCAGAGAAGAGACTTCTGGATGGACTCATGACCAAGGGGTGGACTTAGCATTGGATACTATTGCCCAGATTATTCATGAGTGTTAAACATGCTGCAATTAAGCATGCTAAGCCGTTAAAGCCTCTTTGGTATGGAGGACGACAGCTGAAGTACAAATATGGGGAGGCCTGGCAGATTGACTAGATCACACTCTTTCTCCTGCTCTGAAAGACTGTTAGAAGAGATGGAGTCCAACATCATGGACCGAATGGACACAGCAGCTTTATAGGGATTTGTCCATGCACTAAGGAATGATGTCTCTCTCTCTGTGAATGTATATATATGTATATATATGAGATAAGAGTGATGGTATATTGAAAATGTGGGATCTGAGCATGACGTGAATGGTATGGAATAAGGGGTGGATACTGTCCTGGGCTCAGCAGTAGCAGTCATTTTTCTCCTTCTTGGTAGCTGCTGCAGAGCTGTGGCTTTGACTTTCGGCCTGGGAACAGCACTGAAAACACCAATGTTTTTAGTTGTTGCTCAGTAAAAAATTCTGTTTACATTACCTTTTTTCCAGTCATCAGGAACTTCACCTGACTGCCATGATTTTTCAAATATGATGGGCAGTGGCTTAACAACTTCATTTGCCAGCTCCTTCAGGATACTTCAGGATGGATTTCATCAGGTCCCATGGACCGGTGCACGTTCAGGTTCTTAAGATGGTCTCGAACCAGACCTCCTACAGTGAGCCTAGGGTCTTCATTTTCAGTCCCTGCATCTGCCATCCAAGACTTGGGTGGTGTGATCAGAGCCTTTGCTAGTGAAGACCAAGGCAAAGAAGTCATTGATAACCTCAGCCTTCTCCAAATCTAGGGTAGCCAGTTCTCCTGATAGCTTATGGAGAGGACCTACGTTGTCCCTAGTCTGTCTTTTATTTGCAGTGTAACTATAGAATCCCTTCTTGTTATCTTTAACATCCCTAGCCACTTTAATTCTAACTGGGCCTTAGCTTTCCTAACCTGGTACCTACTTTCCTGGACAACATCCCTGTTTTCTTCCCAGGCTGCCTGTCCTTGCTTCCACCTTTTATAAGCCTCTTTTTTCCTTTGAAGTTTCCTCAGCAGCTCCTTATCCATCCGAGGAGGTCTCCTGGCCCTCCTGTTGCACTTCCTCCTAGTCGTGATGCAACACTCCTGAGCTTGTAGCAGGTGATCCTTGAATACCAACCAAGAGTCTTGGGCCCTTCTGTCCTCTAAGGCTATATCCCATGGAACCTTACTAAACAGGTTCCTGAAGAGGCCAAAGTCTGCTCCCTTGAAGTCCAGGACAGTGAGCTTGCTGTACGCTCTTCTCACTGTCCTGAGCATCTCCAGCTTGACCATCTCATGATTGATGCATCTAAGGCTGCCCTGAAACATCACATTTCCAACCAGCTCTTCCCTGTTGGTGAGCACGAGGTCAAGCATGGAACCTCTTCTTGTTGGCTCCTCTGTTACTTGCACAAGGAAGTTGTCTTCCACACAATTGAGGAACCTCCTGGATTGCTTCTGTCAGGCTCTACTGTCCCTCCAATAGATATGAGGGTGGTTGAAGTCCCGCATTAGAACAAGGTCCGGTGAGCGTGGGCCTTTTCCTATCTCTCTGCAGAGGACTTCATCCAGAGTCCTCTTGATCAGGTGGTCTGCAACAGATCCCCACAGTAATGTCTCCCATCGCTGTTCTCCCTTTAACCCTGACCCACAAAATCTCTGTTGACTGCTCACCTTTCCCCAGACAGACTTGCATACTCTCCAGCCTATTCCTAACATAGATAGCAACTCCCCTCCCCTATCTTCAGGGCCTCTTTTCTAAAGAGCCTGCAACCTTCCATTCCAGCAATCCAGTCATAGGAGCCATCCCACCATATTTCTGTGACACCTATTATATTGTATCCCGTAAATGCACACACATCTCTAATTCCTCTTGTTTGTTCCCCATGCTATGGGTGTTTGTATAGAGGCATTTCAGCTGAGCTCCAAATAAAGCCAGCTCATTGGCTGGGGAGGCTGGAATATCTCTACATTGCTCCAAGTATTTATTATAGGTGCTGGCAACTGACTGGGAGTGTTGGGATAGAATAAAGTTATGTTTTTTTTACTTATGTAAAATATTTATCTTATTTTGTTCACCTAAATTTTTGACAACTTTTAGTCTGAAATGTAAACTGCAACACCAGATAGGTAGCATTCAACATCTTCTAATCCCTCCTGGTTAGAGAAGTGACGCAACACCATTCTATTAATGGAGATGTAAAAGTTTTGAGCCAGAGTCAGTGAAAGCTGTAGAGAATGGCTTCATTGGGCATTCTTAGAAATAATCTACTATAGAGACATCTGAGCTGGCTTGAATTACCTAGCTTTAACAGATGCATCAATCCTGTAGAGCTGTCTGGTGTAGATCTGGGCAAACTGATTTTTTCCACTGGTCAGTGTCTTCTCACAGGATGTTTATATGTAGATACATGAATGTCTTAGGCATCTGAGTTCGAGAACTGTGGTCATGAAAACAGCCACTCTGAGTTTTACAATATGCAGTCACTGGTTACCATGCCCATGGAGTTACAAGAACAGAGTAAGAATCCAACACAATCTTCTCCAGCTTCCACTGGTACCCATCCATAAGTTACAAAAAAAAAAAAACAAAATTAGAGGATATTTGAACTCTGCAATTATACGAATCTTGAATTTCTTTCTGTAATACTATGTAGAGGTTTGCTCAGAGCTTGTGCTGGCAGGATACCTGGTCAGGTATTTAAAGGCTTTGATAGCTTTCTGACCATAAGTTGACTATTTTTTCTTGCACACCCCTTTTTTTACAGTTTACAGTTACTACCAAAATAGTGCCTTTATTTCATGAGACTATTTTCTGTGCTCTTTACTTCATGTTTCAAAGCACTTTGAATATGGGTAAGTGGTAAATACACTTAGGCCCACATAAGCATCCACTTTGACTATGTAAACTCCTGTCTTAAGAGATTCCTAAGTAGCTCCATAAATAGAATACAATTTGCTCCTCAGAAGAAAAGATTTTATGTCAGTCCTGGGAATGCTGTAGTTTAATGTTAGTTGTTATCTTAATTGTCTCCTTGTATACCTAGATTTCATTTCTCAATAATTCAAGATGAGATTAATTGTATGAGCCAGAGCTATTCAATTTTAGAGATGTCTCCTTGTTTCCAGAAAACAAAAAAATACATCTGTGAACCAAAAGTTTTAACCAAATAGGCAGAGAAAAGGCTACTTGTCAAAAAAAAAAAAAACCCACACACAAACAAACAGACAACAAAAAAAAAAAAAAAAAAAAAAACAAAACAAACAAAAAAAAAAAAAAAAACAAAATGCTAGGAGACATTCTTCTGTAAGAACTGAGAGTTTTGCTAGTATATTCTGGTAAAATATAAGGCAAAATAGTAAAAAAGATACTGGGATTATCCCTACGCTACTGTGAAAAATTTGCCATACTTACCACTTGAGTTTTTGAAGGGCACTATAGAAAACTAAAATGTCTAAATTACTTGGAAAAGATGTTTGGTCTATTTTTCACCTTCACCATTCAGAATGGTCTTTTCAGCTTTCTAGTAGTCAGTAAGAGTACAAGATAGCTAGGAAAAAAGTTAAGGAAATAAATTTAAGAATGAATTTTTGTAAATACAAGTTTGCAGTTTATTAGGGCAGCTGTATGACTTGGTCAAGAAAAGACCTAAGAACGAACTATCTTCTTCTCTGTATAAGGATTCTATTATGAAATTAGTAAAAAAGAAAAGACAAACTGATAGTTACATTGCTATTTGTGATAGCATGCCTTCTTAGAAGACATTCCTGGTATGAAATATGGGTGATTGTGTTCCATTATATAAACTGTCATTGTAAGAAATCAGTTGATAAACAGAAGATAAGTGATGGTATTGATTTGCTAGTTACTCAGAGGATTGTTATATATGATATAACTGTCTGTATTTAACTTGCAGATTTGACCAGCATAGTATGCATTGTTAAGATTTGACATATTAGTGAGCTGAGTTTCATCGTGTTGCCCTTAAACTACTAACTGCTGAGATTAGTTACTCAAAGCAGTTTTGTTTGCTGCTAATATCATCTTCACATCATCTCAAGAACTGTATTAACTGTATATTATAAACAGCTTACTTATTATTTTAGTACAAAAAAAGAAATTCCATTACCACTGGATAAACTTGCATTTTCTTATCATCTAACTCTAACTCCCACAAGTATGCGTATTTGCTGAAAGTAAACTTTATATGTAAACTTTCCGTCATCAATATCTATCCCTAGATAGTGATGGAGCAAGGGTTTGGATTTAGCACTTCTATCATCTTCTGAATCATTCCCATCTGCAGTGCAAAGTCCCTCACCATCTGTACCATGCCTGATAACTTATGCAGGCAATACAAATACTTGTCTCATTTCCATCAAGGGCATTTTATTTTAAATATGGGCCATTTCTCTCGTAGGTCCTAATTCCGAAAAACACTGAATCTATATGCAACAATCAACTATTCTTCATCAAACTGAATGACTGATGAGGGCTTCTCTCGATTTCTCTTGGGGAACATTCCTCTCTATGAATATGATTAGCTAGATCATCTATGCAATAGAAGTTTTCTAGTCCCTTCTGAGTTACAGACCTTTAATCTGGCCAACTCTTCTGTTGTTTACAGAGCATTGTGAGTATTAGGGCTGACCACAGAAAGTAGAGTTTGGATGTGAGGATCACCAACAAGTACATATGCTGAAATTTCAGCATTAAGAAGAATGTCAGTGCTTCTAAGCCGTTCCATCCTGAGATTAAGTAAATACCAAGTTTTGGAATAATTTTAGATACTAGATGTTACCAATAGATAAACAAAATTATCCACTTACCCCTAAAAGTATTTTTATAAAATGTAACACTTGGCAAACATTATCAGACAGTCATGTGTCCTGTTCTTTTTTCTCCAAAACAAGATGAGTGAAATCCATATGTAAGTACCATAGGAAAAATAGATGATAATAACGTTAGGAAATGAGAATTTGCATAGTCACAAGTTCCTACATTTTCCAGTCATGTCAAAGGTATAATTGCAGACATAGATAATACATTTTCTGTCAGCATTTTGTTTACAATAGGAAAATTGCATCTAAAGATTGATTTTGTCTTGTTGTTTTAAGAATTTAATTTTAACCCCATGGGAGCTGGTATCTTATGAATAAATCACTGACAGAAATTCATTCACAGGTTTTACTTTGTTTATCAAAGCTTAACCATCAAACCCTCAAATGTATAGCCCCCCCCCCTTGCACTTGACCTTGAGTAGAATAAATGAGTACACTATGACTATGTCACGGAGGTCTAGGTTTTGTTTTCTTAACATGGAGAGCTAAAGAGGTGCTAAGTATTTTCTAGTTTATAGAATCTGTTAAAAAAAAGGTTAAATGAAACACTCTACTGAGAGGTGGGAACATTAGCTCTTTCCTGTTACCCTTGTACTTAGGGGTGGCTGAATTTGGTAGCCCTGC